TGGGAGAGGGAGAAGCAGGCTTCCCGCCGAGCAGGGAGCCCGATGTGGGGCTCAATCCCAGGACCCTGGGATCATGACCTGAGCCAAAGGCAGACTCTTAACAACTGAGCCACCCAGGCACCCTTTCTCTCTCTTTTTTAAGAAAAGATTTATTTATTTAAAGAGAGAGCAAGTGTGCCGCAGGGAGGGGCAGAGAAAGTCTTCAGCAGACTCTGCTGTCTGAGCGCGGAGCCCGATGTGGGGCTTGATCCCATGACCCTGAGATCATGACCTGAGCTGAAACCAAGAGCTGGTCGCTCAGCTGACTACACCACCCAGGCGCCCCAATAAATTTTCTCTGTTAAAATCACCCTGAATAGGGGTGCCTGGGTGGTGCAGTTGGTTGAGTGACTTTTGATCTCAGTTCGGGTCTTGATCTTAGTGTTGAGTTCAAGCCCCATGTTAGGCTCCAGGCTTGAAGCCTTCTTAAAAATAAATAAATAAAATAAAATCACCCTGATGAATATCTCTGTATTCCTGATGTCAAAGCTGAAAGCAGGTGGAGGAGATTGAGCGGTGGCCTTGGCTCTTGGGTGTTGAAGCAGCTCCCTTCTTCCCCTTTCCAGGCTTACACGGCTTACCTCTCAGGAATGCTGCGTTTTGAACATCAGGAATGGAAAGCTGCGATTGAGGCTTTTAATAAATGCAAGTAAGTCCTCTGGTTCAAAAGCCATGGCCAATTTCGATTGTACATAGTCCCTTTCAAGCTGCAGATCACCTAATGATTGTTTCTACAGAAGTACAGTTACTCATTTATTTAGTTAAGATTTATTTATGTTAGAATGTGCATGTGGGAGAGAGCACTCGGTGGGGAGGGGCAGAGGGAGAGGGAGAATCTTGAGCAGACTCCCTGCTGAGTGGGGAGCCTGACATGGGGCTCAGTCTCATGACCCCAAGATCATGGCCTGAGCCGAAATCAAGAGTTGGACACCCGGTCGACTGAGCAAGCCCCAGTTACTTATTTTTTTTTCCTTTCCTTCCCTTTTAGGAATATTGATTGTTCTCATTCATCCTTAGAACCATGCCAGTTCTCATAGTTGGTAGAAGGGTCTCAAAGTGCCATGTTTTGTTTTTAGCCATTGTGTTCTTTTTTATTTTCCTGGAGTGAGGCTGCTGTGAAAGCTGGTGTTTCTTTCCCCGCAGAACTATCTACGAGAAACTCGCCAGTGCTTTCACAGAAGAGCAGGCTGTGCTGTACAACCAGCGTGTGGAAGAGATCTCACCCAACATCCGCTACTGTGCATATAACATTGGTGAGCAGGGGCTGAGTGGAGCACAGACGGGTGGGCTGGTGGTGGTTCATCTCGGAGAGCCTAGAGGATTTGTTTAACTTTCGTGCTTTCCTTGTCCCTGCATCCGTCCTTGGCACGGGTTTTGGCTGATGAGAAGGGTAAAGCTGTCAACATCAGCCCAGCTTAAAGTCACAGAAGGCAGTTCCTGTGCTTTGTTTCCATCCTGCCAACTTCTGTACTCCTCAAGAGCTTTGTGAACGGACTTGAGGTTCACTGGACTGTGTCTGTGCAAGAGGAAGAGCTTGGAGTTGAATCTAGTGGTTCTTGAGAGATCAGACCAGACCCTTGAGGATTGCTACTCAACAGCTCTCTCTTTCTCAGGGGACCAGTCCGCTATCAATGAACTCATGCAGATGAGATTGAGGTCTGGGGGCACTGAGGGTCTTCTGGCTGAAAAATTGGAGGTAATCTAGTCTGTACGTTTTTGTGAAGTCTTTGGTTGGAAAAAGTCTAGAAAAAGAAGTAATTCATAATCTCAGTACTCAGTGTAATTGCTGTTAATATATGCATATTTATATCCATGTATTTTTAACAAACTTTTTTCATTTAATATTTTAAAGTATTCGTTTTTTTATCTCATTTATTTTCTAGGCAAGTAATGTAGGAAAATAGAGAAAGTAGGAAATACAAAAGACGGGGGAAAACTAAAATCACATGGTAAAATCAGAGGTAACCACTACTAATAAGGTGATGAATAGTTTACAGATTTTTGTATATGTAGGAAAGAAAGGTATATGTACATATATTTTTTAAGATTTTATTTAGAGCGAGAACGAGCACAGGATGGGGGGGAGAGAGAGAGAATCCCAAGCAGACTCCCTGCTGAGTGCAGAGCCCAACACAGGGCTCAATCCCATGACCCCGAGACCACAACCCAAGCTGAAACCAAGAGTTGGATGGACGCCCAACTGACTGAGCCACCCAGCTGCCCCAAAAAGGCGCACGCGCGCATATATGTATATATTTTTTTTTTTTT